ACACTATATTAGTCAAACTGATCCCTCTGTGATTGTCACAGGAGGACTTTTGTCCTTTCTTATAGACTGGCACAATCAGTGATTGGGACCAGTCAGATGGAATTACGTCCAGTTCCCAGATTCTACCTAAGACCTCAGTCAATCTCACTGCTAGTACTGGACCACCATCCTTAAAAATCTCAGGGGTCAACCTGTCAGGGCCTGCTGCTCTCCCTCGCTTCAGATTTCCTATAGCTTTTTCAACCTCACAGAGGGTTGGAGGACTTACGTCAATTTGCCATTCAGGACGACTGGGGAGCGTGGGTAATTGAAGCGTGGCTGAAGGCCAGTTGAACTGATCCCTAAAGTGTTCTGCCCATCGATCTAATCTCCTGGATTGAGAATGAATAATATGCCCATCTTTACCTGAGATGGTTTCACTGATATTCGGGTTCCTAATACCGGTTTCTTTAACGAGTCTGAATAGCTGCCTACTGTTACCTATTGCCGCTGCCTTTTCCATCTCTCTTGCTTTCGCTACCCACCACTGTTCACGATCATTACGTAGACTTCTTATAAGCCTGCGCTTAAGTTGACTCCGCTCTTCGTTATGCTCAGAGCCAGGTGGGATGAGTTTACGAGCATCTATCAGTGAGGTAGATGCTGCCGAGATCCACTGTTTCTCCCTAACGTTATGGTTTACCTTACTAGCGGACATCACTGCTGTTTCCACAGCTTTTCGGATGTCATTCCACGCTGCCTCGGGGTGGACACTACTTACATGGCTGCCTAACTGTTTTTCTAGTTGTTCCTGAAATATATTCTTAGCTTGCCTATCATTAAGTAGAACCCTTAGAGGCTTCCCTGCAGTGTCTTTCCTACGACCAGTAAGACGCAGACAGATACGTGCTCGCACTAGAGCATGATCTGAATCTAAGCATGTGCCCCAGAATGAGCGACAGTCTTCTATCGAGCCCCTCCATCGGTGGCTGATAGCGATGTGATCTAATTGGGTCCAACGTTGGGACGAATTCGGGGGTCGCCATGTCAAAAGATGTTTTTCCTTATGCTTAAAGTTAGTATTTGCAAGAAATAGGCGGTTATCTGAGCATAGCTGCAACAGACGGTCGCCATTATCTGTTCTTTTCGCCATGACACCATAAGATCCACCCAGGTGTCTTTCCCTTTCACTTAGTTTACCTACTTGAGCATTAAAGTCACCTGCTACTATTACTACATCAGAACGCCTAGCTTCTCGGAGAAGGTCAGAAAGTTTCCTGTAGAACTCATCTTTTATATCGTCTGAGCTGCAGTCAGTGGGAGAGTAGGCAGAGACGACGAAGAGGCAACGACGAGTTTCCCTATCTTTCCGGGTCCTTACTGATCCGTTTAGTCGGACAGCGCATAGACGACTGTCTACTGGGATCCCGTCTAAAAGAGCTAGTTCTGCCCTACGACTTAATGCTATACCTACTCCAGCGAGGCCACGGGAAGCAGCATCAGGGCTTCCAGATACCCGAAGCGTGTATCGAGATGAAACTTTATTTTGATTAGGTGAGGTCAAATGAATGACGCTACTCGAATCTTGTATGCGCGTTTCGGAGACGCAGCACACATCGATGGTGTAAGATTCTAGAGTCCTAGCTAAGGAAGCCTGTTGTCCTATTTGGCACAATGTTCGGACATTAAAAGTTCCTATATGTAGTTTAGAGCGTGGTTTCAGGAGACCAGGAATAACATTCTGTTTACTCGAATCGTTTGCCCTAGCGGTGCGAGGTGATAAAAGGACGTGGGAAGGGTTAGTCGTGGAGATAACAGAGTTATTAGGTGTAGGAAGGATTTGAAAGCGACCAACTTGGTCTTGTGTGCAGTTAAGGGTATGAGGGCTAGTATCACTTCCCGGCTGCCCACACCGTGGAAGGGTATTTCTTGAAGGACCTGAAAAAGAAGTTGGATTAGTGTTGGTCTTAACGACCTGGGAGCGTGACCGCAGTGCCCAAGGGACATCTGCTTGAGGCCGGTCACGCACGGCCTTTTTGTGGGGGATTTTTGACGTGTTAGCTCCGTTCTTCAAAAGTCCTTACCGCCGGAGACGGATATCCGTGGGATAAGGCGAGGTGTGCATTTTTAGGGTCGACCTTTTCTAACCCCACCCCTCCTTGTGGGAAGGCAGCATCGCTGTCATGCTGGTTGTCTGAAGGAAACACCTTACTGCTTTCACACCTCTGTACAGTCAGCAGTACGACTTCGCCTTCGGACCTTGGAATTGCTGCTTTTAGTCTCACCGCTCTTCAACCGACCTGTCTGGCATGGTAGGACCTTGAGGAACGATTGTTCCAGCCAGCATAGCTCGATTGGATCATCACGATAGGCAAGCCCGACCACCACGTCAAGGTAGCAGCAACGGTCGGGACGAAATGAGGAATATTAGTAACAGTGTAGTGAACAAAACACGGGTTACGGACAATCGAATATATTTAAGCACAACTTACAAACTACCTCACTAAATTCTGATAACCGTACAGCAAACAGTTAATTTGCAAAATAACAATCAATCGACTCAATCTTCACTGTTTTTTCTGTCAATATCAGTCCATCTTCTCTAATTTCATTGTTTATGCATTTTCCTACCAAAACGTCACTGACTACATATACACTGGTGCTAATGTTTTGATAAAATTATGTTTTCAAAGAATATTCCATCCTATTGCCTGTCAACTACTTTTTCAAAGCTACCAAAATACATGATAATTATAAGTTTATCTTCGTATACAAATAAACATGTGAAATGTTATCATCAGTCAGAAATAACAATTAGAAACCATTCTGTTTTATAAACAATATGTCACGCTAATAAGAATAATAATAGAAGAGTTTGGATAAGATATTAAACTAAATAGAATAGAACATTTTTGTTAAATTGACTTAAAGCATTATGCTTATTATTATTGATACGACTAATTTCACTATCGGTAGGTAGTAGTAGTATCATGACAAATATCATTCTTTATGCATAATAAATCACTTTTTCTTTGCTATCTTCCTTTCTTTTAATTACCTTTCCTTTATATTATTCTGTGTTTATTCACATGTAATACGTATCCATCTATGCTTTACCTCTTTATAAATACACATTTATCATTTCCTATACAAATATTAATTAATTAATTACTTATTATAAACTATTATTCATTAGATTATCAGATACAAAAACAAAATTAAATGAGAAATTATATATTTTATAGATCTAAACAATTAACGAACAATAATAATACATTAAGTATATAAGCGTATTTTTTTAGCACATCTATAGAAAACAAACTGATAGTGTTAGTGAATGGTAACTTTGTGATCCATTTATGGACCCATATTATGCATATGATTTTATCGTATATTTTCTAAATAATTAAACTACTCATATTCATGTTCCTTTTATTGTGAGCTTTATTTTGACCCTTGGACTATTATTGTACGATTTACCATTCCTGAGTTATACCCAGTCTATTAATTACTGCTCCCCCTATTCACAGCCACATTTGGCTAACTCTTGTACAAATGTTATTTTCTATTTTATTGGTACGATGTGACCAGTCTGTTTGGTATATAAACCCAGTGTGTTTGAGAACAATGATTCATATTGCAGAAGCTGTTATTGGTGTTCTGGACTTAACTGGCTCGGCTAGGCAGAAAACAGGGCCGATACTCACTCTAGACTGCTCGTACGGTTTTCGTGTGTAACGATAATTCGCTGCTCTCTCATTGGCGGTCTTATCACGTCACACATTGGCTAGGCATCCACTCGGCCACAAGATATAACAGATAGTAAATACATCAAGTGATAAATATTACGTACATGAAAAGTCCTATATATTTCTAATTTTCATTTTAAAACAGTAATATATATCACAAAAACTGTTATAAATAATGCATATCAAGAAGTTAAACGAAGACTGACAACTCCATCGGAACGTTAATACTTAATGTTTATGTCAACTCAACGGTTCAACTGAGAATTTTAATGCTTCAACATTAATGATCTGAATTCAAGACCTTCAGTAGTAGTTTAAGTGATGGCTGATTTACATAATACCTTTGATGTTTCTTTTTCTTTAGATATGATGAATTACGTTCCTAATAATGATAAACGTTTACTGTTGTTTAGCTGATATCTTTATTTTATTGTTTTAGGTACCACTTCATTTATTTAGTAATATCTAGAATAAATCTAGCAAATTAAACAAGAAAACTCAAGAAGCTCAACAACCACGTATATACTACAGTGAAATGGTTTATTTGAATAGCACTTAGACACTCTAGGTATTTAGAAATAAGCGGTTTGAAAATATGAGCCCATACTGAAAGTTGAAATTGCCAATATATTACTATTGCTAATACTATTATTACTACTAACATTATCAAGATATTACAAAACAGACAATACAAACAGATGGCATACATTCATATTTATTGCCTTACTGCTCCTACTTATGTAATTCCCTGGAAAATGGCTTTTTATTGAGACTAAGGAAAACCCATCCGAAAGCTTGTTATTAGTGGTTAGATAATTATTACCATGTAAGGACATTTGTTCACATTTTCACCTTTATTTTCTTTTTCAGTCTGAAAATGACAGAGGTTTTACAAAACAGATCGATGAATATGATCAAGCAAACAAAAGCAACATGCAACAAAGTATTTGAATTTAATTTCAATTTAGTCATACAAGTTTCCATAGAAATAATATAATCATCATCACATTAGAACTTTTAAAATGCTTGATACAAAGTTGTTTGAAACTCGAGGTTTGTTCGACTCTAATCATTTAAATGCACAACAATTAACATTATATAAGATATTGTTTAATAATACTTGTAAATATATAAATGATTGGAGACATTACTAATTTATAAATCATACCTAATACACGTCTGATACTATTCTCATATTCGACCAATTCAGTTTGAACAATATGTTTCTTTAATAAGACATTTTTCTTTTCATTATACAATTCCATAGGAGATAAGGAGCATAGTTGTTTACGATATCTGTGAATAAATGATACATGAAACAACTGTTCATAGCAAATTGACAAAAACAAAAAAATATATAGTACAAAAAGAGAGTGAACGAAGAAAAGTATCCTGTATTTGACATTTATTAATATACGCCCAGAGCAAGTCAAGGCTTCTATAACTGTTATTATACATATCAAATATTTTAAAGGTGAATGAGATGAATTACCAATTGTGCCTCCGAGTTGGATTTATTTGTAAGTAAACAGGGAAAAAATATGAAAAATGACAGTTCAGAATTTACTGCGAATAAAATTCAGTTTTCGATTAGTAACAAAATTCAAGTAAAAGATAATGATTAATTAACATGAGAGGTATTTTTAATATATAATCAGATACAAACAATACTGAATTGCATGGTTGGATGACGTAATAAAAATGAATGAATAAAATATAAACAAAAAAATGAAAACAGAGCTAAGAAAGTCATATGAGAATATTAAGCAGCTATACGATGATGATGAAACAGATAATTGAAAAGGATGGCTCGTATCCAAACTACATTCTACATCGAGCGATACAAGAATCATCTTATGTATACACAGATTAAGGTTGAGAATGTGGATTCTCAAGGCCCTCGTAATTTGACCTTCATATCACTGAAACCGGTATAACTAGTGTAAATTGAGCAAATTTAATTAATTCTGAAAAATTGATTACGTTTTGTTATACAACTTATTCAAATGTAATTACAACACTGACACTTTAGATGTAATAGTCAGCAAGTATTAGGTCATACTCAATTTAGATTATATATTCTGTAAACGGTGAATCCATATTCTGTCTAAGGTTTAAGAACTAAGCATATAACTGACAAATGAATCAGTTTTATATACAATTTTAAAACTTTATACAGGTAATCTATTATTTCCAACTCTTTTATCATTAATTTAAAATGAATGACAATTAGTTTGATAGTGTATAAAGTTATATAATAAATAATACTATTCGGTTACATATGACATTTTTATGTATTTTTTTTAACGTTGTTATAGTTTAGAATTATTTCTTTCATTCATTAACTATGATATCCAACATTGTGCAGTTTTCTGTATAAAGAACACTGCTAGCCTATAAACAGTTTATTGACAGAAAAGTTTAAAATCTCATAGTAATATTTTTTTATTTGATCAAAAGTAACGGTTGAAATGTTACTAATATTGTAGTGTTTATATTTCAATAACCTAAACAGGATTAAAACAAAACTCTGTACAATGATAATACTAATGATCCTATAACCAATAAATATAACAAGCACTTAGTTACGCAATACAATTCGCTTATTTAGTGGAGACATTTGGACACTCCTATTGTGAATGAAGAGTAAAAATAAAACACCCTCCTTTTCTCTTCGTCCTATACGCGTACCAGAAATACTCTGCAATAAGATATTGATCCCAGTAGAATAAGTATAATAAAGATGTAAAACTACTGTCTACATCAATATATTTGGTGTCGGCAGAAGTAAAGATAAAAAGTAAACTAAGTCATTAGCCAAGCAGAAGAGAGATAACAGTTTTGAAGAGTGAGACAAAATAGGAGGAAATTAGGCAGGAAAAACACAAAGTTCAACTCCACACAATAAATTAAACAAATATAAACTTTAATAGCTTTTGGAAATTTGAACATTCCCTAAACACTATAACAACAAATTTCCGCATAATGGTTTTTAAGGTCTTGTTAAAATAAAAAAACATATACCATTCGAGCACCGAAGCACACGCGCACACACTGTATAGAGAAAAGATTAGAACAAATAAGAAAAAAGTACATCGGTCTAAATACATCTGGGGTCAGTCAACTGAAAATTTTCGATACTTGCTAGTTAGTTAAATATAACGGTAATAATTCTCACGAAAATAATGTTTATTTTGCCCGCAAATATTTTTTTCTAAAGTTCAACAGTAATAAGAATCCAATAGGACTGATGAACTTAAATAAAATTATTATAATGAACAATAATTTAAAATATAACTCATTTTCTTCGGATACATCGTTTTTTCCCACCTTAATATAATTGGGCTAAATGATGGATATTATTGTATTAGAATCTGTTAAAACAGATTTGTTATGCTCAAGGACATTTTTATTGAAAGAAAAATGAATAAAGGTATAAGATGTAAGTGTACTGGTAGATTTAAGTATTATGGTGGTTTTTGTTTTCCTTTTTAACAGTAACAAAAGAGGAAAATGTACTTTTTTCGCTTTGATATTCGTTTAGTTTTGTTACATTTTTTCCCTTCTTATTGAATAATTCGCGAATTTTACAGTCGTCGGTATCTGCATTCACTCTTTTCTTTTTACAACTAAATAGCATTTAATTAATTAAGATATAATTCCGATAAGATTAAAAAAACTGTACAGTTTAGATTTAAGGTCACTGTCTCTGTGAAACGAATGTGAAAATGTTCATGAAATATACTGATAAGGAAAACGGACAGATAAAGTTTATTCGAGCCATTCAGTACTAAATGTCATTAGTTAAATTAAAAATTAAAAAGAACATTGAAAATTACTAAATTTATTTTAATCTAATGTGTCAAGAATAGATTAGCTCAAATAGCTAAACTGTTCAATAGATCTGTATTCACACAAATAGATATGTACATATGCTCTTCTTCCCAAAATAATCACCACATATCAAAAGACTAATAATGATATTCGTATTATTAGCGATGATAGTGGTAACTAAATGCACCTCCATTATGCAATATACTATCAATTGGTTTACTGATAAAACTAAATATACATAACTTTGAATATTTTGAACAATGAATATAGGCAACTTACCATATTTCCTATTTATCGCTCGGCGAACCGCATGTTGACAAAACTGTTCAAATTACTATTAGTACTAAAGGAGGTTATCTCTGATTATCAGAACAAAAAGTGTTTTGCCCTGTTGCTACTCTACACTCAGTGGTACATGCTGCCTAGCAAATATTGACAGAAAAACCCTTGAACTCAGTTTATTTGTAACCATTTGGTTGATTTAGTTTTTAAAGTATTTTAATTCGATAACCAGCTATTTCTGAATGTTAATCTGTAAATAATTCCCCTAGTATGTTCGAACCCTGATCAGGATATTGTTACAACTGTAATATATGTTAAGATAGTATGTACCCCCCTTAAAAAATTATTTTTGTTACATATTTATGAATGGTAGATACAAGCGTGATTCCAAACAATGAGTAAAGTCAATAAAGTCTAAAATATGTCAGCAAAACAATGATTAATTACGGATGTAAAAGAATCGGCTTTCAAATGTGATCTCTTCTATTAGCAACAAAGTGGCGAAATTATATAGCACTAAGAGAACAACAGAATAACATCAGTCCAATGACTTATAGAATGAAAGAGTTGCAATTAACTGTTTCGATTTCCCTCGATAATCTTCGAATTTTAGGAATCAAACTATAAAATTCTGGGACCATACGTTGAGGAGATAATTTTCGAGCTGTTATTTATTTATTTAATCACATATATATTGGTACAAAGGGCACTGGATGCATATGCGCCACACAAAATAATGAGAATGGGAGAAGGAAGAAGATGCGTATATATAAAAGAAGGAAAAAAAGAAAAGGAGAAGAGTAATGATGGGAGGAACTGAATGTACAACCAGAAGGGCTCTCTCAGTTTGGAAAGTTATAGCCACTCTTTATGAAGAAAGTATAAGAAGGTTACAGCAGGCTCGCCACTGGCTTCTATTTTGAGCCATATCTGATAACGTCTCTAGCCACTGTGTTGCCCCATCTCTCGGACCCCAGCCAGGGAGTCGTGAAGGACCAACAAAAGCTAGCCATTTGCAGCTCTCTTTCATGCCACGACACCATGTCATACACTGACCTCCTCTCCGCTTTCTCCAACCAGTCCCAGAGTCGGCAAATAATGCACGACGTGGAAGCCTCTGGGACGACATTCGTAAAACATATCCAAGCCACCGAAGTCGGTGTTTCAAGATGGTGACACCAATTGAATTATCGTCTCTGCGCCCCAACACACGATGCCGAACCTCTGCATTACTAACATGGTGTTGCCACTTCGAGCAAATAAATGAAATGGAACATTCAGCTGACAATTATATTCAAGCTGTTAAGTTAAATTATGAGATCCATATGCCCCACTAGAACTACTCACTCATCTTTCAACTTGATATTTTCACTTAAGTAAAACACCAGACTGATTCAAAAAGATACAACTTATAATAAAAGCTTTAGAATGCATACCTCTAGCTTAGTTCGAAATTGAAATGTTGTGTACAAAAGTGAATACATCCACAATAAGGCCTAACTGACCTTAAAACAGTTTTCGGATGTTAGTAAATGGAAGAAATAGGAGAAAATAAGTATCTAACGTTTTTCATTTGTTCTCAGAATTTGACTATCATTTATTGAAAATGAGAAGTCAGAAAAAAATGGTGAAAATCTTTATAAAACAAAAATCTACAAGTAAGAAAGAATGAAACGTCTTACAATTGAATGTTGTGGTCATCCGGTCTCATAAGTGATTTTCGATGGTTGAAATTAAATGGAAAACCTGGATTTTGATTGTTTTCAATTGTCATAAGACTATGATTTTCTGATGATTGTAAATTAAAATTTCTTTGCTTAACTTTAACTGGGAAGCTAGATTCTTCATTCTTATATACAGTTTCAAATGTACTGGAATCAGAATCATAACTTATATTATGAATATTATCTTGTAAAAGGGTCGGAGATGTGATCTTTGGAGTGTTTAGAAATTCTATTAATTTATTTGAAACCGTTACATTTGGTTGTTCATTTACATCAACTATTGAATCTTTATTGGGCACTTTTAAACGAGACAAATTCATTCCAAATGGGAATTCACTACAGATTCCATATCGAGAAGAAATAAGACGTTTAACCTGACGATACCGCTCATATATAGGTTTCATGATTCGTTTCGATCTAGGAGTTTTTGGTCGTCCATAAAGACCTTCAAAATATAAAAGACTTTTTTGAATATCATATTTCTCTTGTTCAATCTAAAATATTCAAAAGAGAAAGCATACATTTTAGCGGTTTTTAAAAGGTGAACATATTTTCAATACCATGTTAGGCAACAAAAAGTGTAGTATTTCTGCTAGCAACTATGATAAATATAAATAAATAGAAGTGCTCTTAGAAATTATGTTTATATTTTAAAAGTACAACCAAATTAATCCTAACAAAGTAAAAAATACTAGTAAGAACAGTACACTACAGTAAAAGAATAAATTCTCAAAGTTTACACCAAAATAAAATAAAACCGATTATCACCATGTCAATCAGATATTAGTTAACACAGACAACCGAAAAGAATGATATTTAAACGAAGTGAGAAGAACAAGATTTACAAAACAATATGAACTAGTTATATTTCAAGGCTTTTCAATAGTTGAAAAAATGGGCCTAAATCCACATGAGTGATATTGTTAGTAAAAAATTTTATATACCGTAATCAACGAAGTTTAGTTAAAATAAGAAACAGGAAGAGGAAACAACATGATTAACATGACAATAGTTAAGATTGAATAATATTTATATTATATAGTTGAATTCATGAGTCAATTGAAGCTAGACCACTATGGAAAACCTGGAAACACTGGACACCGGTTTCGTCCTATTGTGTGACTCCTCAGCAGTGCGCATCTACGATCCCACCTCGCGAGATTTGAAACCAGGACCTACCAGTCTCGCGCTAGAGCACTTAACCGACAGACCACTGAGCCTACATCTAACCGTGGTAATGTCTTACTTCAACCAATCCACGAAATTGAGCAACCATTCATCAATGTCTTCAGTGAGTTGATATCTCCCAACAAACCTGGTTGAACTCCACTGGTTACTACTTCTCAGTAGAACTCTAGGAATGCGCACTGTTGAGGAGTCCCACAATAGGACGAAACGGCCATCCAGTGCTTCCAGGTTTTCCATGGTGGTTTAGCCTCAATTGACTGATGATCTCAACTATATAAAATTACTAAAATCTCCACAAAACCCCCTTCTGATAATATTTATATGTTGAAGTCATTATAAAGAATAAGTTGAAATTTCAAGTGATATTGATTATCAGAAAAGAATTGGTTTAGGTGTATAACTTGGCCTAATGTAACATCTCAGTAAGTATTATTCCAACTGACTAAAATAGTGAAAAACGTTAAGGAGAACTTTAGTATTCTCCAAAGTAGTTGATAAGTGTTAAAAAGTAGGATGTCTAAGTTAAACTTTTGGTTTAAACCTTGTTGTAAAAAAGACTTCTTTAACACTAATTGTAAACAGTATTGACATTATAACAGATAGTTCGTAAAAACCTTATAAAATCGCTTTAGTTGATCAATTTGATCTGAACAAGAACAAATGATATAGCAAATTTGTTCTGTTTTCTGGCTTTTATCAAAATTTGTGATTCGGTTAATCAACTGAAAAACTAGAAAATGTTATATTAACAATGATGGGAATAAATTATTTAGATCTATTGTTATTCTTCTGAAAAAGTTGTTTTAAGAATAATATTTGGGAAGATATTACTATCAAGTGATTCAACCCATGAATCCACAAATGGATGGTAGATTGTTGTGCAATATCCATAAATTATTGTATTTAACTACATTAACTACTGGATGCCGATCCAGTGGTCTAAAGGTCCATTATATTATAAATCTTGAAGGCCTCGGGTTCCGCCCCCGGTAGGATATTGGATGCTCACTGATGGGGAGCTACGTACTAGGATGAAACAGCTGTCCAGTACTTCCTGGTTTTCACTAGTTGTTTGAATAAAGTCAGTCCGTGACGCAAATAATAAAATACTTCTGTCTAATAATTGTTAAAAAAATCTTGAAATGATAGAAAAGCACAACGTCAAACACCAAATTCAACGAGGATATATGATTCCATTATTTAATAAATTACTTACTTGATCCCAATTCATTTCACTTAATCGTTCAGGACGATTACAATATTGACGTTGTTTAGATAATGCAGCGCATAAAAGTTCATAGAATGTTTCAATAGATAAGAGTGATGAATTTGATTGTTCCAATACTACATCGCCAGCTTTATCATCTTTATCATCAACACTATGATTTTTAGAATTTTCATTGAAATCTCTTAAATCTTTCAACAATGGTGATGAATATTTTCTTAAGAAAGAATGATATTTTATTGAAGACGTATGACTGTTTGATGAAAATGAATTTACTCGTCTAATGACTGAAATAACTGAAGTATTTGATTCGTCTTTATTTGAAAATAATAAATTTTTAGATATTTTTACCGGAACATTATTTAATTTTTCTTTATTATTCAATTTGAATGTAGGTAATGCTTTTATGCTTGATAATTCATCCTACAATATTGTAATAAGACAAAAAAGTAAAGGAAACAATCAAAATAGAAGAACAAGTAACAAGATAAGAATGTTTCATGCAAATAATTGAATAATTCTATACTAGTAAATTGTAAACAGCTGAATAAACATTCTTATCGTATATATACATTTAGAAGATAATTTATATGGTAATATGAGATCATACATAATACTAGTAATTATATTATTATTTACACGTGTTTATTGTTTGACATCATCTTGTATAACTTAAAAAAAACTACACGAACAATGAATGCTGGAAGTATAAAACCACAGAAGTTACTTGATATAATAAATAAAAAAATGGATAAACCTAAACAGCAATAAGCATTATCTCTAAATATCATAATACCATATATAAATAACTTTCGTTATCCTTTTTTCTACAGATAATCATTATTAGCTTCATATATGAAAGTTCTATTCACTAAACCTAGAAGGTGTTCTTCACAAAAAAGAAACGATAAATTATTATACATGGATTAATGAATATATATGGCATTCAAATATCAAAGTTGCGATGCTGAAAGAATGATGAACATAGGCTCCAGGATTTTTAACAAACGAATACAGGGTTAATTATCTCTTGTCACTGGCTATGAATAATAACTGGAAAGGATTGTCCAGGACAGGGTTTGATAGAGAATACTGGTGGGCGGCCTATGCACCTCCACGAAGGGTAACAGGCGTAAGTAAGTAAGTAAACTGGCTATGACTACAATATAAACATCAAATTCATCAGTCATTGCAAATTAGATGAAAGTTTTCAGACTGTTTCTTTAAGTCGATTAACTGTTTCAAACAGTATACCTGGGTAGTTTTACATCCTTCACATAAATTATGTTGAAAATTTATCCAGATGTTTTACTTCTTTACTGATCATTATTTCACTAAGCTACTGCTTTCTTAATTATAAATTACATCAAGCCACTTAACAATTGCGTTTCGAAATATCCAAACAGAAAAAGCCTTTAAGTTAAGTGATTTTACATTTGCACTAAATTTCAGGGTCGAAAACAGACGGCTATAATTACAACTTCAAAATGTTTGGATGTTAATATCTGCTACGTCTTAGGAAAACGTAGTTACGGTCCAAGTGAAAAATAGAGAAGAGGTTTTACACCTGTTTATTAAAGATTTACGTCTCACGCTAGTTGATTGAGTACAGCCCAACAACCAAATGCAATTTTGTCCTCGGCCTTGGGCATATATATATATATGTAGAGAGAGAGAGAGGCTAAAAAGCAAATGATAATTTTCAGTTAGCCACAGATATCTTGGCTTTTAACTCTGACGGAAACGATAGTTATGTGATCAGATATCTACGGATCAAATAACCTCAATTAATTCACCATGAAGAGAATAGTGGGTCGGTGTTCAGTGATCCTCTTTATCATATGCGTTAAAACTCTGAAAATTCCAACTGTATTCAGCAAGGGACAAAGGAATTTATGATGTCAATATTATGTAGGAAAGTGAATACGTTATTTAAAGAGATACTTATGCTAAAGTATTTTAAGATGGATCTTTGATAAAACTTGTTCTTGTTAAGTTATTGTGTTTTTATCGAAGATGAAGATGGGGTCTAAATATTTATCGGCCTTATTATCAATATTGTAATCTAAGTGAAATCAAGGGAAAATTCGGTTACTTTGGAATAAATGTAACAAATATTAGTAGTAAAATTATCAAATTTAACATACTATGGCTAAATGCTGTAACGAACTGTATTTCAGTTTTGTCCTTTGTGGCAATTGGTTTTTGAAACACAATAAATTCGGTTCACTGTAGGTTCTAGTTGATAAATTTAACAAACATCTTAATCCCATTGTATTCAAGGTCCTTTTGAATTGTTGTGTACTATCAGAGATGTAACTAGAATATTTTGCTGATTTTACAAAATAATCTAATTTATTTAATGGAACTGTATGAGATCTGGTATTTTCCTCATTTTGATTTGATATTGAGGATCGATCAGAAACTGAATCCTGTTGTTTTATCCTCTGCTTTGTAATCACTTGATTTCTTTCAGGAGACTAAATAATCAAAAATAAGTTTTTTTGGTTTAGAAAAAAACAAGACTACATTTTGTTAAAAAGAACAAATGAGCATAAGTAAAATATGGTGCAATATTTTCTTGTTTGTGTAAAGCTGAGTCTAAACATGCAATTTCGATTAATGACAGAAATGTTACAATTCATTGATTAAAAAGCTATGATTTATCCATACTTTTATCTTTCACATTCTCATAGTTATTAGGATAATCCAATAAGTAAACGATTATAAAAATCTATTATAAACTTGAAAGGATAAAATTTCGTGAATGGACTTAATAAAATAAAGTTGCATGCATATTTAGTCGACTGAAAATGTTTTGGGAAGACGTGTTCACATAGTTAGGAAAATTAGATGTAACATTTCAAGACTTCAAATATCAAACAACCTTTAACTGTTAACACATTATTCAACAGTCTCTCTCTTCACTTTTATGCGTGCAAATTACAAGATGACCACCTACTACTTCTTGAAAGCTGTTTTACGAATCAGAGAGTAGTGCTGTTTGGATGAGAGTTGGACGGTATCACCTACAAACAGGCTATCACATGATCAAACTAAGTATACAAAGTTTTAATGCACAATGGGAAACTTTTACCTAATACACACACATTCTTATATTTAAATGTAATTTTTGTAACTTTTCAACATAACAGCGAGGAAACACAAATAAACTGGAAAAAGAGTACATAAAAATAAGTATTATTATAATATACCAAAGATTTCGAATTAAATGAAAGTGAATAGTTTTATCTGAGATACAGGCTCTCAGTCACATTATCTAGCACCAAATGCCTATGAACAAGAATAATTTTTTGTACGGTAGAAACCAACAGACAATTACTTAGTGGTTAGTGCTATCTCTAATATATTGGAAATACCAAAATATCTTAGGAAATAACGTATCACCAAACAGTGATGTAATTCTGTACTACAGAAAATTCAGATAAAAAGTTTAAATGGGGTTATTCGTCATTATTCTTAATTTGATCTGTTAGATGCATGGTCCTCAGAAAAGAAATAAAATTGAGAATACTACAATATTTGTGTTCATAAATTAAGGTACAATACTGTAAGTCACACAGTTCCATTCTTCATAAACTCTGCTACATTAGGCAATAAAAAAGACTATTGGTAGATAGATAGATCAAATAGTCAACGGTGTTGGAATTATTCTTCAAGACTTAGGGGAGATATATACATAATAACAGTTGAATTCACGAGTCAATCTAAGATAGACCACCAATGGAAACCTGAAAGCCCTGGATGGCCGTTACATCCTAGTATGGGACTCCTCAACAATGCACAACTACGATCCCTCATGCAGGACCCGAACCCAGTACCTTCGGTATGGAGCGCGAATGCTTAACCTCTAGACCACTGAGCCGGCATCCGATGGTGTTAATATCTAACTTCAATCGACCCATGATCTTGCGCAACCCTTCATCCACTATCTGTCTCACACGCGACAAGTATTGGACTCTACTGGTCACGACTTCTCACTAGAAGAATTGCTGACGAGTAGTACTGCTGAGTTTCATACTATGACGGAACGGCCGTTCATAGCCTCCAGGTTTCCAATCAAAAGTTACAAATTTTCTCTCTGTAAGTTACTAAAATATTTTAGAGCTTACAGAAAACTTCCCGGAGTTTAGAGCAGATTCATTTAAGTGTTCATTGTTTGCCTTTGAAGAAAGCGATAATAAATTAGGAGGGCATGGTCCACGATCTTTAGGTTTATGAATAAAGGAATGAATCGGCTTAACGGTTACTGAACAAACAGAATTTGACTTTGATCTCAAAGTAAATGAAGCGGTATGATTAGACAATATCGGACTAGTCGGTGTACTATGAGTGTATTTCCTTGGTTGATGCGTAGTGTCATATTGAAGAGTTCCAAATTCGAAAGACTTATTTTGCTTATTTTCAATTTCAGTATTAGGACCATCTGCGTGATCTTGGTTAGGGTGAGAATGATCAAATACACAAAATGGTATTTCTAATTGGCGAAATACAGTAGATATCGGCTTAACAAAACTTGATACTGGATTTCTTTTTGCAGAAACTGTACAATCCATTTCATTTATTGAATAAGGAAAGCTGCTGGAGTGGCTGGGATAATTTAATTCCTAGAAGGAACATAAAGAACAAACAAGAATGTGATGGCAAAACGAAAATTTTGAGCTACTGTGAAAAATATAATTTTGCGTTAATTTATCATTGAAACATATAGATTAGTGGTATATAAATATTAGAAGGATAATATCTCGGATAGTTAGTTAATTAAGGATGACAAAAGAAATAGTCACCATGAATATTGTACAATAATTGATTATTAGATAAAAACCCTGTTTTCTCCTGACGACCTTCAACCCCTAGTATGAATATTGTGATTGTCGATTCGCAATTTTCATAAAACTCATGCCGTTAATGGGGTTCAAAACTGTGATGGCCAACAGTTCCTAACTCTTACCTAAATAACGATGGAACCCAAGTATGATGGCATTTTGAAAAAAGAAGAGAATAGATAATTAATAAATCCATATTGTGACTGCATGCGCTAACGAGAATGTTTCGAAAGTATATCACTAAAACGGAAGGCTCATGAATAGGGTGAACTGCCGTTTGAAAACTGTTAGTGGGATATAGATTGGATTAAAACATGTTTTATGCATGATGGTGTTGCTGCGCGCTGATTCTAATTCTAAACCGATCAGCCTGGGCATATTATTGGAGAAAAATCTAGAAGTTTCTTTTGTATATACTATAAATATATGAACGTTATTCAAAATCAGTGGTTGCTGTTCACATACGATTGTTGTTTTGAATACAATTTCGTTCCTGTTCAACGTATTCTGATTTTGGGGTCTTGTTGAGTGTCATCGTATAAGAATACTAAGCAATAGGAATAGCTGGGACGTTTATATAGCAAAAATACAATTATAACAAAAACTATAAATGCCTCAAGATGCATTAACGACTGATCATGTTGAATAATATACTTAAGGTAACGCAAAGTACGTAGAAGAAAGTACAAAATGAGAATTTCAGATTTAATACTGACGAAAAATCAAAACACAAAGTGAGAGTATTTATACAGCACGTTTATATGACCGTCAGTTAGTCAATAAAATGAAATACTGAAACACTTGGTAAAAACTAAGAGGTAATACTCAATTAAGATATTTGGAGGCGAAAGTTTAATAATTTCTTTCAGGTTGCCTGAAGATGAGTAAAATAAAATCCTATTCAGATTCACAGTAGCGTTTAAAATACAGGATGTAATTGGTTAATTCCACTACTCTGTTCAACTACAACCCCAAAAATACTAATTTTAGGTGATTTCTTTGTCAAATCAATACAGTTTGCTAACTCTGATAATATTTCTGAAAAGTTACATAATAGTTACACATTATGTATATACTATAAATATATGAACGTTATTAAAATCAGTGATTGCTGTTCACCTATCATTATTACTTATCAAAACTTGTTGAAATAACTCGTGCTGAGAATTCTATATTGTACCAGACTATAATATTGAATAAAGCCATTAATAATAATAATAATAATAATAATAATAATAATAATAATAATAATAATAATAATAGGAAAATACTTTTGAACAAAATTCAAATATAGATAATACTGAAATGAAAGTATCAGATACAGAACACTGCTTTCATTTATGTAGAGTGGGATATTCATAGTTACATATTTAAACATTATTAAACTAACCTGCTTCACAGAGAAGGAAAAAACATGAGTATCGAAACATTGGTTTATCGCCTGAGTCAAAATATTCTCTGCAACTGGAGATGATTGCTTATTACCAACCAAATCGGCAAACTCATTGTTAGCAGCCGGTATTTTCATGTAAGAATGACTTGTGCTAACTGGCATAGGAGTAGACGTATGCGTTGAAATTGCTGTATCTTGTACTCTAGCTGTATTAAAATCATCCTTTTGCAAATTTATAAGTCGGTAAATATTGTTAGTATTCGGAAACCGATACCCATTATATTCCAATGTATTTGATACAACGTTGTTATGTTGTTGGGACTGACTACAAAGATCTTGACCATAAACTGACACACAAGAATCCGTAAACTGAGGCGGAGTTTGTACGGTCTTATTTTCCACAGAAGGCATGGAATTCCAAGTACTGATTGGATAGACACTTGATTCTTTGATTGTATGTTTGCGATGACCGAAAGTTTTTTTAATTTTATTGGGATCGTCAGTGACGTGAGAGAAACGAATCACTTTATTGAATAAACTATCACCTGTTGAAGCTTTGTCTGACGATCTTGATAACATACTGGAAACACGTAACTTTTCTCTTGGGTTCTCTTCAACAAGGTTGGGCTTCTTATTACAATTTGACATCTGGGTTGAAATAGTAAAACAATCATCAAGTTGTGTTTCGAAGCTCAGTGCCTCTAAAGAACGGGATGTAGCCATGGACGAAATAATATTTGTGATATCCAAGGCAAGTTGTTCTGATGTCCTGAGTAAAAAGATAAGAACCACAAGGATTAATGGACATTATGGTCATAGAACACATAAGATATTACCGGAATCCTAGTAAACCAAGTAATTTGGTAGAAATCTCAAAAAATTCCGAACCATATTCTAATGACCAATGGCTTACTTTGTGTACAACGCTTCTGGACCTGAGTCTGAAACTTCTTCAGCATTCTTTTCTTCATTATAGGAAACTGAATTGCTTCTACTCACAAAAGTTGGGGTACTAGAAACTTCGAAAGTGATTGGGCTGGGTGTTGGTGAAGCTGATGGACTAATAAGAAATTCTTTGTATTGGCGAGATGAGACGTTGTTTTGAAATGGAGAACTGACACTAGAGAAATTACTGTCAACTGTAACATCACACATCGAATCTGGTATACTGTGACCAGGATTTGTTCGGGGAATCTTTGGCTCACTAGAAGAATGGTCATGTGACATCCACACATAGTTATCTGGTTCAGGTTTAAGTGTATTTTTAGAAGCCAGGGGCAGAGCTTCCACAAAATGTGAGAATGTGTTTTCCTGTAGGCTACTAGTAATTCCTGGACTATTATTTTGGCTGGAACTCGTTGATATTTCGCTTGATGGCTGAATGCGGTCTTCAAGAATCGGTAAAGCCGAGTTAGAGACGATTTCCGGTAGTTTAAACAGATGATCCAATACGAAGAAGTCAGTCTTAGGGTGATGAACAAATATAGCATCATGGTATTGAATTAGTGAGGTCATTATGTAATTTGTCAAGCCCTGATTCTTTAGAACCTTAAAGTTAATTGAAAAAAATAGTTTGTAAAAACGACATTTACAGTGAATGTATTACTTCATATTCATTTTATTATCAATCAAACTATTACAAAAATGATAGGTTCTTTATTGTAATTCAATTATTAGGTCAATTTACATTATATTCAATAAAATAATACTTATAGAATGAAACAAAAACACATAGACATAACAGGTTTCAAGGTGTCACAATTTAAAAAGAGTAACAGATCATTATGCTCACTTATAATTAACTAAAACTAGTCACCAGTATAAACGTAAAATTATGATGTTGGTTAGCAGTAGTTACTGAGATCCGTTATTCGGAGAAATATAGACGTTCCCTCAGACTAATCAAACATTAATTTCCATATATATATATATATATATATATATATATATATATATACTTGGAACTGTTCGACAAGACTTAGAGTTATTGAATCATATGGAGTTCTGAAGATTGTGCAACTCAGTGGGTGGAGGTGTTATCGGAGCTTAATCACAGTAGCAGCCAGTAAGAGTCTTGTTATAGTGGTCCAATATATTCCCATAAAAATTATAATGCACCTTGAAACTAAACGAAGTTAGTGCTGGTTGTATTTTTATGAATTTTCTTTATTTCTTCGTAGTATTGGTCTTTTATTTTCTGCCGCCTATATCTTTGAGTTCAAGATTACTAGGCACTTTATGTTAGGAAAGTAAAATTCTTTGATCTTCAAAAAATATCTGTGGGCCGTTATTAGGAATGGAATGGGCTTCACAAATCAGTTACAGGCAAATTGAGATATCCCCAACAGTATAATCAAGACATTTTGTAACAGCTAGTAAAAAATTAACTAAATACGGTCTATTTCAGTTATCTTTAATCCACAGACCAGAATATCATAAATTTTTACAAAGATGTACAGCGATAATTCGAAAGTCTCTAAAAGACTAAGCTGACGTTAGATATAGTATCCCACACCACACACTAACGTTTCTTGTATAGTTGCGTGACTAGGGACCACTATACAAAGATTTCGACAAGATGTTTCTTTGAAACGGCAGACAGTTTGGGATGAAATAAAGGTCATCTAACTACCTCTTTTTGTCATTTTAGCTGACAAGTGACATGCTATAAATGATTTAAATAATACAGCTATCCAAATCAGCTAGTTAGAATAAATGTGATAAATCCCATTTTGGGGTTGCATAACTACATCAATTAGGATAATTCAATTATGTATTAAGATCACATTACGCAATACCAAGGAACGTCAGCATTCACTGGTCATTTTGTGTTAAATACTGAATGATCCACTATTTTATTTGTGTGCATTTTCCTTTTCGACTGCTGAAATCCTACTTTTACTTCTCCACCGATTTAGTGTACGACAGTTTACTCATGCAAAGTGGTTCATTAATCTCACCCAATCTTCATTAAGCACGTACACCACGGTTTGGTTATACTATTAAATCTACAGCATATACAAATATCAACTATATATATATATACGTCAACACAAATGATGTTTCTACGAATGATGAAGTATTATTTAAAATGAAAACTTGCCTGAAAATCCAAACTGCAACGAAATACACAAGGACCGAAAATAATTCCTAAACTATTGTGCGACATTTTATTGACAGGTTCGTTTTCTGAAATCTTGCTCAAAAACTTACACAAATATTTTAGGAGCTCGTAATTTTCATGCGCCAGTGTAAATAATACAGTTTGTAGTTTAAGTATGTACACACTCAAGTCACTTGAATATTCTTTCGCAACCTGGAAACAATAAAAGTTGGTAAAAAGCAATGGATTTGGACAATTTTCTATAATTTAGTAGGGTTTTGTTTCGAATGTAAAGACTAATCTTTTGTTTTACCTAAAGTAACCCAAATTTGTTTCAATATTTAGGAACATGACTGTAAGAATGACTGGAGTCAGACCAAAAAATATTGTGAATTTCTAATCCACCACAAGAAACAATGCCAGAAATTAATATGACAAGATAATATTACAAATCGGAGTTAAGATGTGGTGGTAAGGTAGATCTACGGTAATATTACTTCAGTCAACGAAGTCTGTTTCTCATAGTCCAACATCAATTATTGAACTATGAGTAATGCCATATATGAGCTATTTTGTTACGGAGGTTTTAAATTGTTAGATTTTTAATGGAAGTGATTTTCGTATTTTCTAAAATTTGCCATATTTAGTTATTGGTAAGGTTTGAATATATATGAATAGTTTCTAAACGATTTTATGTGTTATATCGATCTTGATGACAAATCGTATTATCACACCTTAATTCTCTTAATGAACACAGTACACAGTCAAATATTTCATCCTTGATATGAAAGACTTGAAACTAATATAGTCTCGGTCTTTGCGGTCTTCTACACTGCATATAAAGCTATAGAGTGCATTTATGACAGCTAGTTGGTAAATCATTCTATTGTAAGGCAATTGCAAAGCACAGCTACAAAGTGGAAAGAGGTAAAAAATCTATATATTTAGGTTGTACAGTGTGGTATTTCCATGGACCGACGAGTGCAATAATACAAGACTCTATTACTGCCCCTCAGAATAACATGGCCAGAAAACTTATGTGATATCAAGGAAAAACTGTCGAAACACAAATTACTAAATGATCGAAAAAATCTAAAACGTTATAAGATGTATCGATACTCTGATCGTTAGTTTAGATCAGTCTGTCGAACGAAGTTTATATGTAGGACAGCTTCACCGGTAAGATTAAAACCAATTTATTATAATACAAACCGAAAGTACTAGAGATATGAGATATGTTAAGTAAAATATGTCACCTTTATACACTTAAGTCCAAGTTTTTCCGGAACAAGTCCATCAGGAAGTTCACGAAGAAATAACTTTAAAACACCTGCCAAAGCATAAATATCAACATTTTCCAATGAACATAGATTGTCGGCTGCCGATATCTGGAATGTAGTCTTGAACCCATCAATTAACTTAGCACTCCCATTAATGCGAAAAATTCCCTGTGAATTGAGCCCATAGTGAAGCAAATAATCGCAAATATTTTTAACTATTCGAGGCACTGGTTTTGTAGAATCTCTATCAAGCAGGACTTTTAACGGGACACCAAAGTTGTCTTCAGTTTGTACGAGTGTTTTCCGTTTAGACTTAGGGCTGTTATTTATTTTGCGAACAAATCGATCCATAATATGAAAATCATATAAAATATCGCAACAATTTAGAACGAAACTACAATATTAATCGGCTAAAGATGAGATTCAAGTCACCATCTTCCAGATTCCCGGAAGTAACGAATGCTTTGCGGGTAACCTTGAGAGTGAAAAATGTTTGATTTCCGAGCCCCTGTGAAGAGTACATTAAAATGCTTGCTAAAAACACTACAATGACAGTGGCTGAATAACTTGAAACTACAAAACCTTCATACACAAATCATCAACTACGTAGATTAATGAAGGAGTAGGAGTAGCTCTATTCATTAGGAATGCTATTCCATTCACTATTATCGACAGTGTATCCCATGAGAGTGGGACGTATGAATTAGTTAGTTGCCGCTTGAAATGCAAGGGAGAAAAGCTGCTGCTTGGTTTGATATATCGTAGTTCAAGCTGTTAGGTAAATGAGGTTTTGTTAAGCAGTCTCAACACTTGGTCACGAAGTGGTCGATGTCTAATCATAGGGGACTTTTATGCACCCATGGTGGACTGCGGAAATCTGTGAAATGAATAGTCAGATAACTCATTCGCACAAGAACCTGTTGATGCGGTTATCACATGTGCTCTAGTGCAACATATGAAAGAAGCGATTAGGTACGACCCGGGCTCTGCATAATCATTACTAGATCTTATATTGGCTTACTATGAGGATGACGTTGCAAGCCTTGATTGCATGCCACTTCTAGGCAAAATTGATAATGCAGTTTTAACCTTTGACTTCCATATAACTATGGATCACGAGCACGCCTTAGCTCAATCCAGATCTAACGTCTGGAAAGCAAACATACTAGATATCATGCACTTAGCATAGTCAGTAGATTGGACAATATACCCAGAGTCCTCAATCGAAACGGCTTGGGACGTATTCCGGAATCTATACTTAAAAGTTACCGCCTCTGCACATGCCTTGGACTACACCTAAGAAGCCGAGAAACTACCCACCGTGGTTCAGTAGGGAGGTTTTCGTCCTTCTATAGATCTGAGTTACTGGGGACTGACGAGGCAAAATCTCAGTATCAAAAAGCTCGGAATACCTGTGCCTCTGCCCTCCATATGTCCAGAAAGCTGTACGAAGAGAAAATCGTTAAGGAATCCATAGAATGCTTTAAACGCTTGTATTCGTATATAAACCAAGGGAGAAAAAGAATAAATGTCCCTTCACTATGGGAAGACAGTACTGCCTCATCACTAGTAAAGGACGACTTTGGCAAAGCTCAAGTATTTTCTAAATACTTTAGCAATGTATATACCATAGAAACACCCTTCTCACCAATCCATGAAAATCCCCCCACACAAACACTGGACAGCGTGACCTTTAAAAAACTCGATGTCTTTGGTTTGTCAAATAAGCTTGACATAGGCAAATCCACTGAACCCGAGGAACTGCATCCTGGGTTACTAAAGGAATCAGCTAACTTTGTTGCGAACCCTTTAAGTGCATGTTTTAATCTATCCGTAACCCAGGGTCTTTTACCGAAAGACTGGAAGAACGGTATAGTAAGTTCTGTCTTAAAAACAGGTACAAAACATAAGACTGAGAATCACTGACCCATTAGCCTAACTAGTGTGATTGATAAAATCTGAAGGAGCTGTTTTAGTATTTCGGTTAAAACCATAAACATTTGGTGTAACCATGCAAATTTCAAATATATTTAGTGGAGAATGAACAATTTTTTTTCTTATAGAAGTGTTGGTCAAGTCGGGTTGATGTTCCCATAAAAATCCCGAACGACAGAGTCACTGTAACTACTTTTGTGCATTTGAAGATACCAACAGTATTGTAGTTTGACAATCAATAACCAGTAACACCTTCTATAATCGAACTTTATCTCACTCAAGTAAAATCAGAAGTCAGAAGTGAAAAGGTTGGAAAGATATATTTGATGCGTTATCAATATATCGAGAAGCGATTGATCTAATCCGGCTAATGATCGCCGGAGATGTTCTCCACGCTGTGATGCAAAGTGATCTGGTGCTGATGCATTACGGAACGCCTTCAGTTAAACAAGTCCACTAAGACCAATGTTGTCAGCATCCAATGTCGAACAATTAAAAAGCTATTGATTTCGGGGAATTATTTACAGCTGCACCTTCGCTTTAGGTGCATTCCTAGACAAGATCCACCATATTAAGGTTTCACACTGTTTGAAGTATTCCCTAAGAAGTTTCTGCTGCAAAACCATTTGGAAGATATTTTGCTGCACATGCTGCTGTGGCTGACAGTGGTTAGATTCAGGATGTGTATTTATGCACTTATCTATGCACTTTTCTGTTGGCAAGATCCTCTAAATATTAGTTGCTTTCCATGGTCAAGCAGTACTTTTATATTTTTAAGGACATGAAACAGTTATTCTTAAGCCACCGAAAGGGATCTCCGAAATGTTCTACGACGTATGAAAACGTGTGCACTATATCGCAAACCAGGTTGGATAAAAATGTCTGAAAGCTGATTTCAGGTTAAGGGAGGAATAAAAGAACTTGACAGATGATCCAAAAATTATTACGGAGCTTGAATTTTTGTGCTTTAAAAATTCTGGCTTCGTTTGTAAACAGCTATTCCACGTTAATTCTCTTGCTGGGCCTTCTACGAAGTATGTTTATGAAGGACTATTTGACAATATTGGCATCAATCAGTAATGAGCTAAAGCCACTACATGTCTTTTGTATGTAACTGGCTGTCAAGAGCTTTGTTGAAGGAACTGGCACACAATTAGAAGAAGAAAACCTATAAAAATGCATAAGCTACCACCCAAACAATTACGCAAACAATCCAGATACTTTGATTCCTGTGTATCGATAACCAGTCAGACACAATCAGAATCATGGACACCATAAGAATCTGTCTAGTCAACTATTCGTCTGTCAATCTATGTATCTAAATAAACACACATCTAGCAATCCTTCAGTATAAATATATTTACAAACGAAAGAAAGTGTAACTTGCTGCGTTAGTGAAAGCCTGTGGGAAATCAACCATCCATCTTTACCTATAATACTTAAGATTTAAGGCAATATTGAGGCAATCCCCACAGGTTGCATGTATGTCAATAACAGACTGATCAACTGCAGTTCTAAACCTCAATGGGACAATTTAAACAACAAGTAAAAAATGAATCAACATATCGCTATATTAAAAACATATCCCGATTTGCTAATGCTGGCAGTGTTGTATTTAAGTATCTTGCTTTTTTCTTATGTATGTTGAGATCTACTGTCACAGAGGCGTCGAGATTGTAATTTATGGACGACATCCGGACGAGTCTTAAGTGACCTTGAGAAATGTAGATTAAAAATTGATTCTTATTCATTGCAAGAGTTCGAGTATCTCCGTCGATGATGTTACGGATTGTTAACTTATAAATCGCTCTAGCGTATGTGTGTGCTGAGAGGATTGTATCGATTTTGCCATCTGTCACAAGCATTTATAAACAGAAGGGGATTGTCATGACTCGTATAACAATCGTTATTGTATATGAAACGTGCAATGATACAGAAAATACGTACGAGCAGTCTTGGGTGCTATTCGGTCCTTCCTATCTGCCTAGCCCAGCCCGTTAAGTCCAGAACACAAATAACAGCCTCGGAAATATGAATCATTATTCACAAGCACACTGGGTTATATATACTAACCAAACAGACCCAATTATACCAAAAAATAGAAAAATAACATTTGTACAGTAATTGGCCAATGTGGCTGTAGCTAGGGGGAAAGTAATCAATAATAATAGTTCCAAGGTCAAAACAAAGGTTGTGATAAGAGGAACACGGAAACGATTAGGTCATTTATTTAACAACTATCCAATAGGGAATGGGCATATTGTATTTGTCCATAAATAGACATCAGATTTAGGTTACTCATTTAACAACTATCCAATAGGAATAGGCGTATTACATTTGTCCATAAATGGACATCAGATTTATGATTCATAATTCGCCAGGGGATACAACACCTCCCCTTTTTGAGAAATCCGGATTTCTAATTTTCTCGAATTCACCCTCCCCCACGAAAGACTGTTGGATCCTCATATAGCCAAGTTACTATTAATGCGATATGTTTGTCACCTTTAACAGGGAATGCATTAGAACTGAAGAGATCATGAGGATCGACGACATTTGATTCGAGGTCACCAACATTTGATTCTTCTGAAATAGTTTTCTTGAATTTCCTCGGAACCTCATTAGTAGATAATGAATCATTAGGATAATCAGTATCTATGAGAGTTGTATTGGATTCTTGATTATCATTAAATACATCTGACATTTTTCTCTCATTTTTATAAGAGAATTCAACAGAAACATATGAATCATCAAAATAATCTAAATCTGGTAGAACAATTACAGAATTTTGATCATTAGATTCATTAGAAACATTTTCCGTATCATGATTAATTTCATTTGGTGCCACTGTATTCCATATACTGCTCGATTTGTTTCCCGTTTCTTCGTGGGCGGGTACTGCAGCAATTTCATGAGCATTTTGCAAGACATTTACTTTCTGTGAATAGGATAATTCATTGTTTGCACGTCCGTTTTCGGGATTAATAAGACTTGGACCGTGTACAGGGCATATCTCTGAAGCAGGTAGTACTGGGTTACTGGGCTGATCATGTATAACTGCTGCGCTTAAATGATTGCTTTGTATGGATTCATTGAGGCTTTCGCTGGCATATTCATTAGTTCTGTAATTGTTTTCCAGCTCTGTACGCAATTTTGAAATTATTGCGTCAACTTCCGTTTCACCCCAAAGCATGGGTGATTCAGCAGCTTCGCGTGTAATTTGTCAATGAAATCCAATTGACTCTTTCTGAAGCGCTGCTCTTGTCGCTGGATTAGCAACTGAAATTGGTCGGAAGTTAAGGCCATTTTTTAAAATGTAAATAATAATAATAAATCCAAAAAACACCGGCAATTATTATGGATTATTTAATTCCGAAATGACGTCAGCGGCTGCTGTATTTTTTTCCAGAATCCCCGTCGCCAATTTGTTATGACTCGTATAACAATCGTTATTGTATATGAAACGTGCAATGATACAGAAAATACGTACGAGCAGTCTTGGGTGCTATTCGGTCCTTCCTATCTGCCTAGCCCAGCCCGTTAAGTCCAGAACACAAATAACAGCCTCGGAAATAT